TCCAAATTTCAATTGTCGTTAAGAAATTACACCATATTGGGTTCGAAAACGCTGGGAAAATTTCATATTCAGGGAAAGATGGATTAGTATTTAATAAAAGATTGACATGGAAGCGTAAAAATTCGTACACATGGACAGCATAAAAAGAAACACTGGCAGTTATAACAAAATACAAATGAAGAAAAAAGCTTCGAACAGACGACTAGTTATTAAACTCAGAAAATTCTACGGCTTATTAAACTCAGAAAATTTCAGAAACTAGAAAGAAACCTTTTCACGAGGTAAATGACCAATATCGCCAAGTGTCCGAACTGAGACAGTTCCATTCGGGTACACAATTAACCATGTTATCGAGCAATGTCCAACCGACATTCGAAGCCAACCTTCCGGCGGAAACTGCAGTGCTCTGAAAGATAAACCATAAAACGTCTCAAACAGCTGACCCAGTTCAAACCATGCCGAATTTTTAACCCAGCCATGTGACAGTGCAGGAGAAGATTTTTCCATTTCGCCAATGGTGCAACATAAAATTTTACTCAGTGTGAAGCAACGCAAAGAGGAAAGAATTATCACCAAGTGCCCACGTAAAAACCGCCCCGGACACTCAGGTATTCCATTCTAGTGATGTTACAAAAATGCTTTCGTTTCTTGCGCGTAGCTATGCCAAACGCTTCGATTCTAACGCATTCAGCGCCTATACGATGTATTTACGCCACCCCTTTGAAGGACTTTTAAGCAATTGTTTAATTTTTTTCGCGGGTACCACTCGCTAATCCGCAATGACTGCCAATTTTCAATAAAGCAAACAACATACTTATCTATGCTAATAATGATAACGATAATAACAATAGTAGCAATGATAATAATAATAATGACGATAACAACAATAATGATATTAATAATAATGGTAGCAGTGATAATAATGATAGTAATAATAATAATGATAGTAATAATAATGATGATAGTAATAACAATAATGATAGTAATAAAAATAATGATAGTAATAATAATAATGAAAGTAATAATAATAATGATAGTAATAATAATAATGATAGTAATAATAATAATGATAGTAATAATAATAATGATAATAATAATGATAATGATAGTGATAATAATAATGATGATAATAATAATAACAGCAACAAAAGTAACAATAACAATAACGAAAGTAAAAAAAAGGGTTAGAAGAAATAATAAGTGTCATTCAAGAGCTGTAGGTTGACGTACCTGCATACAAAATATCGTATCACATTTCCATGGCATACAATCAATTCCCAGCTATCCTCCTTCTGCTTACTGCTTGCCCGGTGAATATACTTCCGAAAAGCCGCTTCAATGCGCGATCCCTCCGTGGCGAAATTCAAACAAAAAAGATTATTCAGACAGCGAATCTCATTCCGTAGTTTCACAGTCAAATTACTAAAACCATTCTGACCGTCAGAATGGAACAGAGAGGATACAGAAGGTTGAACCAAAACAGGACGGTCCAAGTAGAGGCGAAGAAGGGGGTAAGGTTGTTAAGTGGATGCTTACGGCCGTTGATAAGCCGAACCATACCTGCCGAAATCGCGGACCATATAGCTAAAGAAAATTCGGAACGGCTGAATTCCTTAAGTTTTAAGGGGACTTTTAAATGTTGTCAGACCTATATAGACACGACTTTTCCCTGTGTATTAGCCTATGATTATCAGAAACTTCCGGAAAAAGACACAATGGTAAGTACCATTATTCCCGTGCTGAAAATGAAGAGTTCGACTTCACCGAAGAGAAAACTATTCCATCGATGACTTGTCCATTCATTTCTATGATAAGCCGATTGTAGCATACAGGTTGACCTTGGATGTCAAAGAACTGTCGGCGTATTGAAATAGAAGAATAGAATAATTTCACTTGAATGTCATATGTTTGAAGACATTTTATGACGCAGTCTGTGTTTCATCCCCTAGCTGTATACACAGACCGAACA